AGAGCTGGGGAGGGGGGTGGGAGCCCCATCCTGGTTTGGGTGCCCCAGGGGCGCTCACTCGGCGTAGCCCGTGCTCCAGGGCAGGCGGCGGCCCGTGTCCGGGGGGCTTTGCACAGCCCGGCCCGCGTGGTCATCGGCGCGTCGCAGCCCCCCGGGGCTCAGCTGCAGAAAGGTCGGTCTGGAGAAGCTCGCTCGAGCCTCAACAGCCCTCGCGGGCGCCGCGCTCCCGCTCCCAGCCTTCCCGGGAGGGCTCCTGGGCGCTTCTGGAGCGGCAGCGGGCGGCGCCGAGGCGGTGTTGGGCAGGTCCGGGGATTTGGGGCGCGGAGGCGGAGCGCCCCCGGAGCTCACCAGGTGCGCCACGGCCGAGCGCACCCGGTTTAGCATGCTGCCTCCCTGCCCCGCCCTCGGCCGCGGCCCCGCCCCCGCCCAGGGCCCGCCCCCAGGGCTCGGGGTGGGCGGTGCTCGCGCCAGACGACTCTTCCCTGCTATTGGCTCCCAGCCAGCGGGGCGGGTCCCAGGCCAAACTTGCCCTTCCTCGGGGCCACACAGGACCCCGGGCCCCAGGCCTCTGCCCCGCCCCATTCCGGCTTGGCCCCGCCTCCGTTTCTTAGGGGTAGGGTCTGTTGTTGTGGCAAAGGGGCGGAGAGAAGGAAACGTTACTTCGCTGGTGCGCTAGATTAGACTTCAGCTAGAACGTCTCCATTGTGACGGGGTTTGGGGACAGGGAGGTGCGGTCTCGTTGCTCTCGTATCGGTGTGACCAGCCTGCCCAGAGACCCATGGAGCTGATAGCCTCAGAGGAAAACAGGCGCTTTGGAGCCGCTGGGGGTGAAGCGCCAGGTGTTCACCACCTCTGGCTGGGGCTGCTGGAGCTGGAGCGAGAGCGAGACCTGGCAAACTGGTACCGAGTGGGGGTCTGGAGGTAACGACGCAGGCTGCAGCCGACCACCCGGAATCAGGAGCCGGGGTAGATTCCTGGGCTCCTGATGCGCCGTTGCCCATGAAGACCATCTCTAGATCTGGGAAAGCGGTTGCCACTCCCACCCTCCTTTCTCTCTCAGAACCCAGGTCTTTCCCATAATGTAGACCTTCCCTGACCGCAGCAGGACTAGTTATTAATACTTAGGATAATAACACATAATAAATACTATGTTTTGAAGACTTACTGCATACTGGGCCCTTTACAAAGCACGTTCCACACATCATTAGGTTATTTATACTGCACACCAACGTTTATAGAATAAAGGTGGGTTTTATTCTATCAGTGTCACTGATGAGGCAGGACTGGACACTTCTTGTCATTTTACTGTGACTTGCCCCAAGAGGTCGCATAGCCAGTGAGAGATTCACACCTATGTCGTCAAACCTGCTCTTTCTTATTTCTCCGGATCAGGAAGAAGGGCTAGAAAGGAGATCAATGGAGAGAAGAGTGGAGGTTCCTCCCCTCCCATCCTTCTCTTAGGGCCAGGGCTGGCAGCAGTCTGGGAATGCCGAACAAGTTCTATGTCTGTCTACCGCCAGGGGGAGACAGAAGCCAGGCTAAGTCCTTGCTTAGGACGACTAAAAGCACACTCGCTGGGAAGACCAGGACCGAGCCCAGCCCCTGGCTGGCTGCCTGTTCTAAATTCTCCCCTCTGAGGGAGTGTAGTACTGACCTGACGCCACAAAAGCTCTGTCTCTAAACCTATCGGAGAGTTGATCACTAGGAATCCACAGGCACCACCCACTCACCCACACATCTCAAACAGGGACAAGGCTGTTGTGGCCCTTAGGCAAGTTGGAGGTAGCCAGCAGGGACTTTGGCACCCAGCTCACGGTTGGAACTTTTCTGGGCTCTGTCGGCCAGGTGCTTCCTGAACACATCCCACTCTGTTCCCCAGGCTAAACTGTGTGTGGCCCGAAGGGATGACTTTCTTGGCAGCTTCCAAATAAAAATCCCACAATGGTCATTCAGGTTGGTAGACTTACTATGCCTATGTTATGTCCGAGCTTTGGGCAGAGAAAGCCAGAAAATATTATCCTTCCTCAACCTCCCGAGTAGCTGGGATTACAGGCACATGCCACCATACCCAGTTATGGGGTCTGTTTTTTTGAATCCAGGAGGTGGAGGTTGCAGTGAGCCGAGATTGCACCACCACACTCCAGCCTAGCGACAGAGCAAGAATCCGTGAAAAACAAACAAACAAGGGCCAGGCGCGGTGGCTCAAGACTGTAATCCCAGCACTTTGGGAGGACGAGGCGGGTGGATCATGGTCAGGAGATCGAGACCATCTTGGTCAACATGGTGAAATCCCGTCTCTACTAAAAATACAAAAAATTAGCTGGGCATGGTGGCTTGTGCCTGTAATCCCAGCTACTCAGGAGGCTGAGGCAGGAGAATTGCCTGAACCCAGGGGGCGGAGGTTGCGGTGAGCCGAGATCGCACCATTGCACTCCAGCCTGGGTAACAAGAGCGAAACTCCGTCTCAAAAACAAACAAACAAAAAACACCAGACCCCAAGGCAAAAAGAACAGCAAAGGCAGACCAGGACAAAGAACAGGCTGCTTCTATAGGTTTTCCCCTGCTATTTGGGAAAACTGGAACGAACTCTCAGATAAATAACAGCAGCAGCAGCAACTGAAGAAACAAATATAACTCCCGGTGGTTGTTATTATTCAGTGTTTCTGGGACAGTTGACTTACCACTTCTTGGTGTCCCCCAGCTCCCTGTTCCCTGCCCTTTCTAGCATCCACAATGGTGTGGCTGCAAGCAGTCAGCAAAGCCAAGCTCAGGCACCACCCCCCCGCCCCAGCCCCAGCACAAGATGACCAGCAGGGAGGTTAACAGCTCCCTGGGACCCCAGAACAGCCCCCAGCCATAACCTAATCATAAGGCTCTCCTACCCCTGAACTTCTCACCTCCTATTCCTGGCACCATAATGCCTCCTCCATCCTCAGACTGCCCCAGAACCTGGTGAGAAGGTCATCACCTCTACTCATCCCTGAGGCAGAGGAAAGTGAGAGGGAAAAGTGGGTGGGGTAGGAAGAAGCAGACTTGTGGTGTCTTTTTCTCTGTGAGGAGCAAGACTCAGTGGCTGGCCCTGCCAGGGGAGTGTGAAGCTTGAGTCAAGGAGGGGGACTGAACAGCCTCAAGACAGGCCCTTTATCTCAGGCCACAGTGATGGCTCAGGGCCCAGAACTGGTCGCCTTCTGCCTTGTCTCTCCCCTCCACAGTACCCCAAACCCAGAGGCCCCCTAAACGAAGAGGAAAGTCCCTTCAGTAAAGAGTCGAATTCACGGAACATCACTCCCTCCCATTTGTCTGATACTTTCACATCCAAAATAGAATCTTGTGAAGAATTATTCAATTGCAATTAATAATATTACAATTTTTCTGATAAAGAAACTGGGTCTCAGATCAGGAGTGGTGGCTCGCCCCTGTAATCCTAGCAATTTGGGAGGCCGAGGTCCGTAGATCAGTTGAGTCCAGGAGTTCCAGCCAGCCTGGGCAACGGGGCAAAACCCTGTCTCTACAAAAAAATACAAAAAATCAGCCCCAGCTTGGTGGTGCACTACAGACTATGCCTACATTCCCAGCTACCAGGAGGCTGATGTGGGAAGATCACCTGAGCGCAGGAGGCGGAGGTTACAGTGAGCCAAGATCTGCGTGGCAAAGTGAGACCCTGTGGGAAGGAAGGAAGGAAGGAAGGAACGAAGGAAGGGGGCCAGGCATGGTGGCTCATGCCTGCAATCCCAGCACTTTGGGAGGCCAAGGCAGGCAGATCACCTGAGGTCAGGAGTTCGAGACCAGCCTGACCAACAGGAGAAACACTGTCTCTACTAAAAATACAGAATTAGTTGAGTGTCATGGGGCATGCCTGTAATCCCAGCTACTCGGGAGACTGAGGCAGAAGAATCTCTTGAACCCAGGAGGCGGAGGTTGCAGTGAGCCAAGTTCATGCCATTGCCCTGGGCAACAAGAGCAAAACTTCATCTCAAAAGAAAAAAAAGAAGGAAAGTAAGGACGGAAAGAAGAGAGGGAGGGAGGGAGGGAGGAAGGAAGGAAGAAGAAAAAGAAAGAAAGAAGAGAAAAGAAAAAAATAAACTAGGTTTCAGAGTTTGGTTCCCATGTTGATATTCACATTTATCATCCACAGGGACCATCCCCAGCCTAGTACTCTCCTGCCTAGTGCCAACACCCTCACACTTCCCTTAGTCCTCCCTGCCCCACGGGAGCACAGCTGCTGGGAGAGGAAGAGATATGTACTATTCCCTCCTAAATATCAGTCTAGAAGAGCGCTGCTGAACAGAACTTTGTGCATTGATGGGAATGTTCTACATCTGCCTGTCCAATACAGCAGTCCCTATCTTCGTGTGCATGCTAATGAAGAACTGAGTTTTAAATTTTATTTAATTAATTCAGACTTAAACTTAAACATGACACTAGTGGCTATCCCATTGGACAGTGCAGTCTGCAATCTTCAAAGCTCAAAAACCACGAGGGTCTGGTCAATCACTCCTCATTCCCAGCTCCTTTCCCCCCAGCACCTCCACCTCCCCTGAGCCAGAGCACTGGGGGCCACGAGATCTGGAGGGTTTTGAGGGATCTCCTCTGAGTTGCTCAGAGGGATCTCCCTGGACACCAGGGAGGTGTCCATCCGCACGGGACCTGCGGAGGCCGGATGTCTTCTCTCCCTTCCTCTTGCCCTCGGCCGCCAGGGGCCGCTGCGTCCCGTCTGTGCCCACCGGCTCCGCCGAGCGCCCGGCGCTGTCCCGAAGGAGGCGGCGGCGCCCACGCGGGGCTGGAGGAGTGGGGGTAGCCCCGGGCGAGGCGGCGGCTGCGGCGGCGGCGGCTGCGCGCTCCCCGGCCTCTCGGCCGGAGCCTTGGAGAAAACCCGGCTGAGTTCTACAGAGCTGGCAGGGGCGGGCCTGGAGCTCCCCGGTGCCCACAGCCGGGCCCGCCCTGCGGATGCCAGCCTAATCAGAGCCCTGCCGTCCCGGGGGCGCAGCAACTTGTGAGGGGGACAGGGCTCCGGACTAGACAGCACCCAAGCTGGCCGCTCCCTCCCAGAGTCAGTCTTTCCAAGTGTTGGTCCCAGGCTCCGTAGCAAGGAGGACTTCAACCAGCAGGTCAAACCAGTGGGCACCACCATGGACCAGGTAGGTCCCAGGTCGGGGGGCTCAGAATGTGGAGGAATGAGCAGGCGTTAGTGGGGTTTGTGGGGAGGGAAGGTGAAGAAAGGTTGAAGGTTCTTGTGGTTCACATCCTCAAACCCTTGTAATGCGGGCTGTTTACTCAGCCTCACTAAACCCCTGGATTGGGGTTTAGGAAAAGTAGGCTGGGAAACTGAGGCAGGAGCATGGAAGTCGAAAAACAAATCCCAGAAGCTTCTTTGTCCAGCTCTTTCTGGGGGAATATACCAGGGATGAGAGCCCAAATGAATGCCCCCCACCCCTCTGCTCCACACCCCTCGAAGGTCTTGTGGGCCTTGGGGTTCCCGGGAGACATGGATGAGCTGGACTGGAGGATGCTGCAGCTCAAAGGGAATAGGATCACCTGAGAGAAGACAAAGCTGCATTTGTCATGCTCAAAAGGAGGGTTCCTGGAGGGCAGAGAGAAGAGATGACTACTCAGATAAGAGGCGCATCTAGCAGGGTGGGAAGCTCAGCCCACAGAGCACACCCATCTTCTGGGAAGTGGCACCTCTTCCTCTGTCTTTCTCCAGATCCCCCTCTATGCTCTCATTCCCGGGAGCGAGGACTCAGGGGTCTCTGTCCTTCCCAGGCCCCACCATCCTATGTGCTTCAGTTCTGCCTCCCTTTAGAGAGGGAGGGAAGAGATTCCTAGGGAGAAATGGAAAGCTGTTGGGGGCTGTGGCCATCAAGGCTCAGGGACCTGGAGTATCCCCATTCTCACCCTCTGGAGGTGGGAATGGGGATGAGGGTGGCTGGGGCGAGGGTGGCTAAGCATCATGTGAGTCCAGGAAGCAGGTGCCATGGCGGGTAGGAGGAGGGAGTAAAGAGGAGCAGGGTCTCAGGAATCTTTCCCAGGTGTCTCTTCCAGCAGGAATCTGCCAGGTTCTGCTCCTTTCTTGACCCTCAGCTGCCTCCCAAGGCCAGAGAGATGACAGCAGTGATTCTTAGACCCCTCCCTACCATTACCTGCTTCACTCTTGGAACAGAGAAACTCCCTCAGGCCACCCTTGTCAGGCTCGCCACCCTGTGTGATCCCAGAGTCTGCAAGGGCACCTCCAGATTCGCAGGGAAGAAGAGACTGTCCCTGTCCTGGCACCTGAGAACAGCTTCAGAACTGGGCTTCAGTGCCCCGCCCCCCCTTCCCCTCTCCCACGTTCTCCTTCACTCCCTGCAGAGCCATGGGCTCCCTCTATCCCTGGCAGCCCCCCCAAGAATCTTTCCTACTTGTCCAGGTGGAGTGAGTCTGAGGCCAGTAGATGAACAGACAGAAACTGAAAGATCCCCAGAAAGGTGAGTGTGGAGACATTGACGATGGGGAGTTGGGGGTGGACAGGGATCAAGCACCCTATCTGAGGAGCAACTGGGTCCTGGCAGTTGGTGCAGCCTCTGGTGTTCCCAGAGCCACAGTGGCACTTGTGAGAGCCCAGCAGTGGTCCAGGCCCATCCCTGAGCTTGTGGCCTTGCTGCCTCCTGGGACTGCTCCCGCCCCCTTCTATGGCTGGGCAGCGCCTAGCTACTCTGTGCTTCTTGCTTCCCTAGGATTCCCTCCATTTCCAGCTTACCATTTGAGGTAGCTTTGGGAGGCCCAAACCATCAAGAATGAAAGAGGAAAGGAGAGTGGAAGAGAGCAGAGGCAAGGTGGTGCGGTGGGCAGAGGGCAGGCTTCTAGGCTCTGGGCTCCTCCACCCAGATGCTGCCTGGCCTTGCGCAAGTCGTTTGACTTCTGTTAGCCTCGGTTTCATCTCTTCTTTTTTAAATTTAAATTTTGTTTAAATTGAAGTACTGCATTCCCACGGTTGGAAGCTCAAAAAGCAAGACATAAATCAGGAGAAAAATGTCTCTTTTCTACCTCCATCTCCCAGCCACCCAGTTTCCCTTTTTGATGGCAAACAATACCACTAGTTTTAAAATACATTTTCCACCTAGCACAGCGGCTCATGCCTATAATCCCAACACTTTGGGAGGTTGAGACAGGTGGATCACCAGGTCAGGAGTTCAAGACCAGCCTGGCCAACATGGTGAATATGAAACCCTGTCTCTACTAAAGATACAAAAAATTAGCTGGGCATGGTGGCACACACCTGTAATCTCAGATACTTGGGAGGCTGAGGCAGGAGAATTGCTTGAATCAGGAGGTGGAGGTTGCAGTGAGCTGAGATCACGCCATTGCACTCCAGCCTGGGTGACAAGGCGAGACTCTGCCTCAAAATAAATAAATAAATAAATAAAATACATTTTCCAAAGCTAGTTTATGCATATCTGAGCAACAAAGATAATCCTTCCTTTATACACATTTGATTTTATTTATTTTCGCACTGGGGTCTCACTCTGCTGCCCAGGCTGGAGTACAGTAGCACAGTCAGTTCACTGCCGCCTCAAATTCCCGGGCTCAAGCAATTCTCTCACCTCAGCCTCTGGAGTAGCTGAACTATAGGTGTACACCACCATGCCCGACTAATTCTTTAATTCTTTGTACCTGGGGACAAGGCGTGCCTCCTCTCCATGTTTGTGCCTCCCAGAGTGTGTGGCACAGAGAAGGTGCCCAGGCTGGGCACAGGGGAAACTCCTGCCTGGAGCTGAGCAGAATGTATGCTTCTCTTCGGGTGCGGTGGCTCCTGCCTCTAATCCTAGCACTTTGGGAGGCTGAGGTGAGCAGATCACGAGGTCAGGAGTTCAAGACCAGCCTGACCAATATGGTGAAACCCGGTCTCTACTAAAAATACAAAAAAATTAGCCAGGCATGGTGGTGCATGCCTATAATCCCAGCTACTTGGGAGGCTGAGGCAGGAGAATCACTTGAACCTGGGAGGTGGAGGTTGCAGTGAGCCGAGATCACACCATTGCACTCCAACCCGGGTGACAGAGCAAGACTCTGTCTCAAAAAAAAAAAAAAAAAAAAAAATGTGTGCTTCTCTCCGCAGGATGAGTGAGAGGGCTGTGAGGAACTGGAGCACACGCGGCTGGCTGCTGGCACTGTGCCTGGTCTGGCTGCTGACCCGCCTGGCCTTGGCTGCCTTGCAGCCTCCAACTGCCACAGGTTTGGAGGAGGTGGCAGGGCCTGGGGAGGGAGTTTCCCAGGACACCTGGGGAGGTGGACACCACTCCACCATGTTTCAGAACAGGCAGGTCTCCAAGGCAGAGTAACATCCAGAGATTCTAGGGGTTCCAGCTCCTCCTCTGCTCTTTACCCAGGAAACTCTGCCCACCCCTGCAGTCCTGCCCCAAAGAAGGTCTGGGCAGACCCCTTGCTCACCTCTCCTTCCAGGCTGGAAGGTGTTCTATGGCGAGAGAAGCCCTCGGGTGGGGGCTTAACTCTAGCCTCCTGGCCTAATTCTGTGGTTTTCCTTCTGGGATGGCTAAAGCCTGTGTAAGCGGATGATCCTCCCCACGCACTGTAAGCCCTGGGGCCCTGGCCCTCACGCTGAGGAAGCTGGCAAGGCGGGGCTGGTGCAGGACTCTTTCTTCTGCCCAGGGCCGTGCTCTGTCAAAGGGTGAAGAGCTTGGCCTGGGGGGGCGGAGGAAGAACGGGAGCTCTGTGAAGCAGTGGGAAGATTTCATCCACTTCCCCCTCCCCTGCCACTGGCAATGTCTTCCATAGACCCCCCATCAAGCAGGGAGGAGGGGCTGGAGGCCAGCCCGGGTGGGCGGGAGGGAGCAGGGTGGGGCGGCTGGAGGTCTGATCTGGGGCGGCTCCCCTCAGTGCTTGTGCAGCGGGGCACCTGCGAGGTGATCTCGGCTCACCGCTGCTGCAACCGGAACCACATCGAGGAGCGCTCCCAGACGGTCAAATGCTCCTGTTTTTCTGGCCAGGTGGCCGGCACCACGCGGGCAAAGCCCTCCTGTGTGGACGGTGAGTGAGAGGCCAGGCCCTGAGCAGAGCCACACAGAGACCTGCTGAGGCCTCGCCATCTGCTGGGGATACAATTTCACACCCTCCTCAGGGCTTTCCTGATCAGAGTCTCAAATGGTGGGGCCCCCTCTGGGAGGAGAGGGCAGACGTGGCCATCCCCGTGTCACACCCAGGTGCGTTCTCTCATACAGCCCCTCTCCCCACACACTTCTCCAGCTCCTTCCCCTGCCCTCCTCTCATTCTCAGCCCTCCTCTCACACTTACCTGTATGGGCACATGTGATCCTTCACACCCACACTCGCGTCCTCACGCTCATTCAGCGCCCCATACACTTGCCCACTGTGTCACGTGCATGCCAGCTATGCTCTCCTGGTCTGTAGACCCCTCCAGATGCCTCAAGCCCCTGCTTACACATGACAGAGGAGTATGCTGGTTCTACATCTATGCTAGTGACATGGTTCCCTTAGAGGCATTTTTGCCTGCCTTCACCCCTCACTGTCTTTGGGGAGATGCAGGGGTCGGTGGGATTAAAGTTGAGAGGGTTACATCCCCAGGCCTCAGCCTGGAGTAGGGGAAAGACAAGGGAAATGCATGGCTCAAGGCCAGGGGTGTGTGGAAACGTGCACCTCATTCGCAGACCCGCTCTTGACTGCCCGCTGTGCTCTAGAGAGCCTAGAGCCAGGCTCGTGCCTCCTGCTCCCACAGCCTCCATCGTCCTGCAGAGGTGGTGGTGTCAGATGGAGCCCTGCCTGCCCGGGGAGGAGTGTAAGGTGCTCCCGGACCTGTCGGGATGGAGCTGCAGCAGTGGACACAAAGTCAAAACCACCAAGGTACCCGGGATGGGCACCTCATCCCACCCCCGCCTTCCCCCTCCACCAGGGGCAGAAAAGGGGGCACAGGAGCCTTGGAGGTCTAGGATGTCAGTGTCCCAAGGTGAGATCGTGAACCATGAAATGTAGCGCAGACAGTCCTCCCAGGTCTGTCCTCACCGGGGACTGGAGTTAGCGGGGTCAGGACTTGAAATCCAGTGTGCCCTGGGAAGATGCTTGATGTCCATATACCTGACTTCCTCCTCTTTGCCTGGAGTTAGTTTGCCTCCAGAAAATGTCAGGTCTATAAAAACACAGTAGAGAACTGGAGAAATTATCTAGATAATTGACAAAGGAATTGCTCCTCCTACCTGAACTCCAGGTACAGTAGCCACTCTGCCACTCACCTCTGCCGCAACTGTCCCCACCCACCCCACTCCCATTGTTGTTGACTCCCCACAGTTCATACCTACCCTCCTCTAGTCAGATTTCTCTGTCTATTGTCACAGCACCCAAGAGGATAATCATTTTCATGGTTTGCTGCCTGCCCCACAGAACAAGGGGTAATTAAAATCGTATCAAACTTGTTAGCAGTTCCATGTACGTCATGGTGAATCAGCTGCATTGCTCTGTCATTGTCATTGGTACAGAAGAGTGACACTGCAGGGTGAGCCTGGGCTCTGCCTTCCGCTTTCACTCCCTGCCACCACACACAGCAAACATACAGCAAACAAGCAAACACATAAGAAAGTAGAGAAGGAGGGCCGGGCACGGTGGCTCACTCCAGCAATCCCAGCGCTTTGGGAGGTCGAGGCAGGTGGATCACGAGGTCAGTTCAAGACCAGCCTGGCCAAGATGGTAAAACCCCATCTCTACCGAAAAGAGAAAAATTGCCTGGGTGTGGTGGTGGGCGCCTGTAATCCCAGCTACTCGGGAGGCTGAGGCAGGAGAATCGCTTGAACCCGGGGGGTGGAGGTCACAGTGAGCCGAGATCATGCCACTGTACTCCAGCCTGGGTGACAGAGTGAGACTCTGTCTCAAAAAAAAAAAAAAAGAAAGAAAAGAAAAGAAAATAGAGAAGGAAAGGCAGCCTTCGGCTTCTGAAGAGAGCAACCATTTTCCTAAGGCACAGAACAAAAGGAGCTACAGCAAGAAAAAGTTTGGCTCTAAAATAGAGCATCCTCTCTCTGTCTGTGGGCAGGGATGAGGGACAGCCATTCTGAGTGTATTTCAGATCAGAAGAGAGTGAGACCCACTACAGAGCTTGTGACATTTGTCACCGTGTTATAGGTTTGGGTTTGGAAGGCAGTGCTTGCAATTTGGGTAGCTGCTCCGAAGCAAACGGAGGGGATGCTTGTCTGATGCGGGTTTGCATGGGTCGCCAGGCCATGCTTTCCCAGTCTGGCCTGCCTCAGGGTGAGAGCATCGGCAGCAATGGCCTCTAAGTGACCTGCATATTCTGGGTAGTCCCTGGCATGCTGGAAAGGAATAGGCATTCCCTTCTCTAACCTTTCCCTATCGCTTCTTCACCAGGTCACACGATAGCTCTTGGAGGTCATGGCCGGCACAGGAAAGGCTTGACTGAGCCATGGACTGAAGAACGGTATCCGGTCGGCAGCCAGGGAAGATGGGGATTTGCTTACATGCCTCATGCCAAACGCGGCATCAGTCTTTCCGGGGCGTTTCAGTTAAGCTGATCAGCAGATATGGATGGAACTGCAACCACATACCTAGTGTGCAGCTCGGCTTTTCTGGAGATACAAAGGTCAACACACAATTCCTGCCCTTAAGGAATGTCCAGTTGAATTGGAGCGTTGGTGACAGACAATTTAGATAATTTAGTCTAAAGTACATGATACCAGACTGTGGCTTCCGGGCCCCATGCCATGGCATGGTGGGGGTTTGGGGACGAGATTCCCACAGTTCTTCAGCCACCCGTTGGCCACAGGGCACAGAGACAAGAGGTCACATTTACCACCCACCACCTCCCTCCTTCGCACCAGTTCTGAATCCCCAGCAAGCTGCTAACATGTTGCAGGAAAACACTCTCCCCTTATGCCAGACCAGAGGCATCTCATTTGGATGTGATTGGATTGACTTGGGGAAGGAAAGTAAAAATAAAGCCACATAACTTCCCAGCAAGGCTTCGGCACAGGTGTGGCCTGATTTGGACCATTCATTGGGTATGGGATGGACAGGACTTTAAAATCACCTCCATCCAAGCACCTCAGGTTTTTATTTGTTTGCTTATTTTAACAGATGAGGAAACAGCCCCAGAGAGGTGGGGCAGCTTGCCCAAGATCTTAAAACCCCAGGCTCCCAAACCTCTAAAGATTGCCGACCTTCCGCCAGCCTGAATAATGGGATTCCAACGTAGGCCTCCTATGTTAATTTTATCTCAGGTTTCTGGAACTAGCAAGTATAGGCTGGATAGCAGAGACATTTTTCTTGGGAGATGCTAGAACAGGGACTTCTGCTAAGGTCACTGTTCTCCTATCTGAAATAATGCAGAATATCCACACGTCGAGATGTGGGACCATCTGGTCTCCACTCTGCCCTCAGTCTCCAGAATTTCAAACAGGCCCCATGACACCCAGATGTCACTCAGCACAGTTCCCGCTGGGGCTCAGCTGGCATCTCATTGCCCACTCTGAGGTCCATCTTTTCTGGGGTCTTTAGGCTGTAATTCTCAGGGGCTCTGGCTCCAGGAGAGATTCTGGGTGGGACGTGGAGCTGGTTAGAGTCTTCTCTTTTCAAAGGCCCCTGCTGAGCAGCAGGGGTGGCAGGTTAGAGCCTCTGTTTAGAATTGAAGGTCAGTGCAGCCAGGCTGACACTCTAGATGGCTCAGGGATGACACACAGGCTTCAGGGACTCAGAGGCATGGGCTACTTAGATATCTCATCAGTAGGAGAATTGTAGCCTCTGAGACTGTGGGCATTGAGATCACCAAGGCCTTAGGGAGGGGGATGTCAATAGAGACCAACCTGAACGATGCTGAATTCTGACCCTCAGAGAGACAAATCAGATGATGATTTGTGGCTGAGTCAGCTTCTCCCTCCCTCCCCGTGCAGTAGAACCAAGACTGATGTTTCCCCTTTCTTGCCCTACTCCAGTTTATTTTCTTGTTTTTGGCAATGGGGTGAACAATGGTGCCAGCTTCTTACTAGACTGTGAATACCAGAATTCACAACTCAAATCTCTGCAGATGGAGGGCTCAGGGAGTTGGTCAAAGATTGTCATTGCCTCCTTTAAGGTTGGAGGATGAGGGGTGGGGATGGATACAGAGATTGGCAAACGTTTTCTGGAAAAGGCCACATAGTAAATATTTCAAGCTTTGCAGCTCACATACGGTCTCTGTTCTTTGTTTTTGTTGTTGATTTTTTTTGTTTCATTTTGTTTTAAATATCTTTAAAATGTAAAAACTAGTCTTATTAATAGCTTAAGTCTTAGCTGTGCAGAAACAGACTCTGGGTCTTTTTCAGAAGGCTGCCAATCCCACGAACCTTTGAAGGCAGGGCATCTCTATAGCGCGGGACTGCCTCCCAGCCTCCTGGCCTGCCTTCTGTGCGATGGGAACCTGAGAGGGAGGGCTGGGTCAGATTTTGTTTTTCTCCTAATGCTTCTTGAGAGATTGGTGAGTGAATTATTTAGGCTACAAATGAGACAGCTTTAGCAGAGTCAGACAATAACAGCCTGTTCTCCTGGAGGCCAAAATGGGGCTTTTCTCAACTCATTCTGCACCCTCGAGACTGTGTCCAGGAAGGAGGGAGAGGGCTCGAGCCCCCTGCTCATCTACTGCATTCACAGGCTGGTGGGCTCAGAGCTGGGGAATGAGCCTGAGAGTGGGGGTGATGCTAGACAAACTCTCTCCTGAGTTGCCAACCACTGCCAGCCTCTGCCTCAGCCAAATTCTGCGTTCTCCAACCTTCCCTGACCTCCCTCATCCCTGCTATAGAGAAGACCTCTCCTGCGACACATGCTGGAATTTGCTAACTCCTAACTCATTTTTTTTTTTTTTTTTTTGAGATGGAGTTTCACTGTTGTTACCCAGACTGGAGTGCAATGGCACGATCTTGGCTCACCGCAACCTTCCCCTTCTGGGTTCAAGCAATTCTCCTGCCTCAGCCTCCCAAGTAGCTGGGACTACGGGCACGCACCACCATGCCCAGCTAATTTTTGTATTTTTAGTAGAGACGGGGTTTCACCTTGTCGACCAGGATGGTCTTGATCTCTTGACCTCGTGATCCACCCGTCTTGGCCTCCCAAAGTGCTGGGATTATAGGCGTGAGCCACTGCGCCCGGCCCTAACTCATTTTTTTAACTCCTCAAAGCCTTCATTTCCTCCTGACTTACTCATTTATATATATATATATAAATACATTTTTTTCCCAACACCAAGACAGAAGCTAATATTCATAAATATTTTTTGGTGGGCTTTGAGGGGTATCTTTTATAAGGCCAGAAGACCCCTATGTTGGAGGATCTGATGGAGAAGGGAAAGTGTTCCTCCTCCCCCACAATAGCATCCTAGGTGCCTGTTTCCAACTGAATCAATGTTTGTGTGCATTTTGTAGCTACAGCTTAAAAATGCAAATTAACTTTCCTGGAAAATCTGTCTTCCTCTTCCTGTTTTCCCGGAGTCATCTGTCTTCCTCTTCTCCCCTTACTGTATTGGACTCTCAGTTAGCCAGTACCTACTCACTGTGTCCCAGCTGTGAAGGCCTTAGGAAGGTTACGAGCCACAGGAGATCATGTGGCTAATTTCTGTTGGCATCCTAGCACTTTTGTTAAGGTCTGTGAGTGACATCCTAATTAAAGGCCCCAGACAGTTGTCTGGATTGAGGCTGCGACTTCCTAAAATCATAAGCTTACAGCTAGAAGGGATTTTAAAGTTTTTTGTTTTGTCCTCGCTTCGGCAGCACATATACTAAAAATTGGAACGATACAGAGAAGATGAGCATGGCCCCTGCGCAAGGATGACACGCACATTCATGAAGCGTTTCCTATTTTGCGCAGTTCCTGAAGGTCGCTGGACTAAACATGGCGGTTTTTGGAGTGGTTGCTCGAGATCTCTTCTGTGCCTGCACTTTCCTGCCCGCGGCCTCAGCCGCGTGGACACCTAGGATGCTTTCTAAAAAAATAATAATAAAATTTTTTGTTTTGAGACAAGGTCTCCCTCTACTGCCCTGGCTGGACTACAGTGGTATAACCATGGCTCACTGCATCCTTGGCCTCTTGGACTCAAGCAATTCTCTCACCTCAGCTTCCTGAGTAGCTGGCACTAATGGCATGTGCCGCCACACCCTGCCTTTTTTTTTCTTTTCTTTTTTTTTTTTTTTTTTTTGCAGAATAGAGTCAGGGTCTTCCTATGTTGCCCAGACTAGTCCTCTCCTGAACGTCCAGCTTCAAGCAATCCTCCTGCCTCAGCCTCCCAAAGTGCTGAGATTATAGGTGTGAGCCAACGCACCCAGCTTGCAAGGGATTTTAGAGGCCAAATTTCCTCATCTGTCAGATGAGGAAAGGAAGGCTCAGAGAGGATAGGTGATTTGTCACATAGCAAGCCGTTGGCATGTCCTGTCCTGTGATCTAGACAAGTGTTCTTTCTGCTACTGCACATCAAGTTCAGATGAGGAACCTGAAAAGAAGCCAGCATTTTAGCAAGGATGAATGTGAAAGCATCCCATTCTAAAGTCACTCGACCCTGCAAGGGCAGGGGAACAGAATGAAAAATGGGAAACATGTAGAGATATATACACAGAAAGAGGGGAGGAGGAACAAAAAAGAGGGGTTGAGATCACTCATTCAGAAGAACACAACGCACAGCACAAAATAATAACAGAACTGATGCCACATCCAAAACAATTGATTTTATTCTTTCTCAAGGAGACGGAGTGGAGCCCTTATTAACCTTAGAGAGATCAGTGAAGCCACTTTGATGGCTTCTGGGTTCTTTAGGCTGCATACTAAAGTCCATGGGCTAAATCTAGCCTGCTGCCTTTTTTGTAAATAAAGTTTTATTGGAACATAGCTATGCTTATTTATGTCTTATTGTCTATGACTATTTTTATGCTAAACACCAGAGTTGAGTCATTTTGAAGAGTCCATATGGATCACAACGTTTAAAATATTTATCTGATCCTTCGTACAAAAATTTGGCCAACTGATACCATAGTGTTTTAGCTGAATCTTTCTCAATATACTTCTGCAATCTGCAAATGATGACTCTGCATTGTATTCCTGAGTTTGAGGATATATATATTTTTTGAGGCTGTGCCTCTGCTCCCTTTAATCCCTTCCGGTGCCACCTGTGATATCTAACAAGCTAGAAATGAAGACGTAAAGACTAAGAGGCCAAGAGAAAGACTTCAGGGAAGATGTCTTGTCACACCCTAGATCTGTTCAGTTCATATTTTCCAAGTTCATGTAACTGTAACTTCTACTTTTTTACTTTTTTGAGTTGGAGTCTTACTCTGTCACCCAGACTAGAGTGCAATGGCGCCATCTTAGCTCACTGCAACTTACATCTCCCAAGTTCAAGCAATTATCCTGCTTCAGCCTCCCGAGTAGCTGGTATTACAAGCACCTGCCACCAAGCCCAGCTAATTTTTGTATTTTTTTTTTTTTTTTCTGAGATGGAGTTTCACTCTTGTTACCCAGGCTGGAGTGCAATGGCACAATCTCGGCTCACCACAACCTCTGCTTCCTGAGTTAAAGCAATTCTCCTACCTCAGCCTCCCGAGTAGCTGGGACTACAGGTGCGCACCACCATGCCCAGCTAATTTTTGTATTTTTTAGTAGAGAGGGGGTTTCACCTTGTTGACCCGGATGGTCTCGATCTCTTGACCTCGTGATCCACCTGCCTCAGCCTCCCAAAGTGCTGGGATTATAGGCGTGAGCCACTGCGCCCAGCCCTAATTTTTGTATTTTTAGTAGAGATGGAGTTTTACCATGTTGGCCAGGCTGGTCTCGAACTCCTGACCTCGTGATTTGCCTGCCTTGGCCTCCCAAAGTGCTGGAATTACAAGCATGAGCCATCATGCCCAGCCATTCCATTTCCACTTAAGGAAAATAAGTGCATGTGCACCCATGTGTGAAGATGTAATTGCATATGCATGTTCGCTGCTGGTGTTTCTGTGTTTGTGGATTTGAGTGTCTCCATGCCCACAAGCTAGGACAATATTCAAAATACATAAAAACCAGTTCAGCACAGAGACTGACTCATCAAGACAGGTGCCAGCCCAAGGCACACTGGCAGCACACAGCCCAGCACACAACCGCACATTCCCACTCCCCCAGAGGGGCCCATTTCCTTCTTCCCCACAGTATGAGCAGCTAAGATGGTTCCTGATTTCCTGGGACTTGTGATTTGTCATCAAGTGTGAGTCTGGGTGTGTGCATGGGCACAGCAGCTACTGGGCTCATATGGCTGTAAACATTCTATTTAGAATAGATATGCAGACTGGGCAGAGGGAGGATCAAGCAACTACCTTTCAAACCATCGGTGAGGGTACAAACTCCCCTTCAATCTGGTTTGGAGGAAGTGGATTCCAGCTATTTTTAAAGGCTAGATTGACCACAAGGCCGGGTGATTGGCAATACACCACAGCTTCTATTAGTGAAGGTCTACCATGTGCCAAACACATATATTAAATGGCACTCTTCCCATCTCAAAATTTGGACAGAGGCCCTAAAGATTAGGGAAAAAAAAAAAAAGAGTATCGACTATACTAAACTACTCCCACATTCTAAATCAAGATGCTAGACTTGCAAAAGGGGTGGTGAATAACTATAACCCACCTCCAGACTGCAGAAGAGGGCTACGAGCTAAGGTTGAAAGGCAGGTGGTAATGAAGATCATCTGGAGAGAGTTGTCACTTTCTTCCACCCTGGCCAGTGGTGTGATTCTTACCGTAACCCACTTCCGAGGGGGATTCCAGAGAAGAACTCCAAGAGCTTGAATCAACTGGAGTGTGAGGGACCCAGGAACGCAGACCTAAAAATAATCTGAAGGCGAATGGCTATGGCTGGCTGGCTGCTCTGGAGATAGTCCAGAGGACCACCTTGAGAGTGAGCTGCCCCCCCAGAGCTTAGCAGAGCACAATGTTTGCATTTTTTTCACAGGTCAAGAATGGACTGTCTAAGAGGGCTGCCTGGAAGAGAGAGGTGACCCCAGCTAGGGAGGGATTACCAGAAGCCAGGAGTCTGAGAGGGAGTCATAAGTAGTCAGCAGAAGGAGGCATCACCCACATCAAGGGATTTGTAAACAGAGGATCTGGCATTAGAGCATCTTCCAGAAGCCCAAGGAAATATCCTCCCACACAAGATAATGCCCAAACTCTGAGAT